AAATAAAGTTCAGAAAGCAAAGATGCCCCAAATTACACTTCTCAGTCCTAGATTTGTTTTTGTTTTGTTTTGTTTTTAAAGTGACAGAGTCTCACTTTATCGCCCTTGGTAGAGTGCTGTGCCATCACAGCTCACAGCAACCTCCAAGTCCTGAGCTTAGGCTATTCTCTTGCTTCAGCCTCCTGAGTAGCTGGGACTACAGGGGAGGCCTGCCACAATGTCCAGGTATTTTTTTGTTGCAGTTTAGCTGGGATTGGGTTTGAACCCGCCACCCTCGGTATATGGGGCTGGTGCCCTGCCCACTGAGCCACAGGTGCTGCTCTAAGTCCTAGATTTGTTTGTGTCCTCATTGCCATACACAGCCTCATTACAGTCACTTCAGGTTGTTTATGGTAACTGATTAGATTCAGGCTTTAAGTGCCAACTGGTCAGGTTGGTGCTGACTTTTTTTTAGCACAAGCCTATAATTTAGCAGACACTTAACAAGCTTGAAGAAAAATGAAGAGAACAGAATTAAGGCAAAGCAATTAATTGGTGTTGATACTACTATAAACACAGTCAGAGAAATTCTCTCAGTAGATACTGGCTAACAGCCAGATTATAAAAAATTCTGCTACTCTCTTTTGTTTGGTCCTGTTCACTCTAGTCCATTATTCATACCTCCTTTCCTCTTCTGTATCTCTAAGAAATAGGAAAGTAATGTGAAGAAAATCCTTCACTATGTCTACAACATCTCACTGTAAGGGACAGAAGATTGGTGTGAGGTATGTTTCCTGTATGAGGGGCAGAACCCCTAGTCCACCAGCCATCTGATTCTTCAGGGGTCATCTCCCTGTCCTGAACCTTGGTGCAGAACAGAGCAAAAAGATAATATTCTCTTTGCTTGCTCCATGGAGTTGCTGTTAAGATCAGATATGGAAAAATGATAGCCAGCTTCTAAAATGGTCCTCAGTGGCCAGGAACGGTGACTCACACCTGTAATTCCAGCACTCTGAGAGGCCAAGGTGGGTAGATTGCTTGAGCTCAAGAATCTGAGAGCAGCCTGAGCAAGAGTGATAGCCAGTCTCTACTAAAAATAGAAAAATTAGCCAGGCATCACGGTGGGTGCCTGTAGTCCCAGATATTCAAGAGTCTGAGGCAAGAAGATCACTTGAGGAGCTGGAGGTTGCTGTGAGCTGTGACGCCACAGCACTCTACCAAGGGTGATAAAGTGAGACCCTATCTCTAAAAAAAAAAAAAAATTACTTGAGGCCAACAGTTTGAGGTTGCTGAGCTATGATGACATCATCGTACTCTACCCAGGGCAACAAAGTGAAAATTATTTTCTGTCTCAAAAATAATAGACAAATAAGCAAATATAATATGACACAACACAATACAATATAACACAATAATCCCAAATGACCTCCACCTTTTGGGACTCATCCTTGTGGTAGCCTCTCTTACAATTTACAGAGCTGGTACTTTTGATTGAGTGACCAAAAGAATATGGCAGAAGTGATGGTGTGCCCTTCCAGGATTAGGTTATAAAGGACTGTGCCTTCTATCTCTCCATCTCTATTCCTCTGTCTCTTCTCTCCTCACTCGAAAGCCAGGCGTTAAGTATGGAGAGCCACGAATGGCAAGGAACTGAAGCCTCTGGCCAGCAGCAGTGAGGAACTAAGGCCTGCCAATAGCCATATGAGTGAGCCTGGAAGTAGAACTTCTCATCTTAGTCAAAACTTAAGATGATTGCAACTCTGGTTGACAGCTTGACAACATCATGAGAGATCACAAACCAGAACCACTGAACTAAGCCACTCCTGCATTTCTAACCCTCAGAAACTGTATGAAATAAGGACTGTTGTTTAAAGCTATTAAATTGGGGATAATTTTTTTATATACCAATAGATAACACATAGATGGTATTATTTGTCCCCAGTCACATTATACTGTTTCTTTTTTTTTTTTTTTTTTTTTGCAACAGAGCCTTAAGCTGTCACCCTGGGTAGAGTGCCAAGACATCACAGCTCACAGCAACCTCCACCTCCTGGGCTCAAGCGATTCTCTTACCTCTGCCTCCCAACTAGCTGGGACTACAGGCAGCTGCCACAACACTTGACTATTTTTTGGTTGCAGCCATCATCATTTGGCAGGCCGGGGCTGGATTTGAACCTGCCAGCTCAGGTGTATGTGGCTGACGCCTTAGCTGCTTGAGCCATAGGCACCAAGCTGCACTTTATACCATTTCTAACGGTAATATTAAAATGAAGCACTGGCTTTCTAAAGCACTGTCTAGAAAGAGACAAAATGGTACAATCTGCCTCTCTATTCTACAAGGAGTAATTCTTCTGTATCTGCAACATCACTATTCAAAAGTCCATCCTTCTCCCTGCCAACGATGACTACCCAACATCACATAAAACTGATCACGTTCTTTCCTACAGTTACTATCGTTCTGGATCACTAAAGATTTTTTTGGAAACAGTTCAAGTTGTTGTATTTTCTTTTTCTTCTGTATACTTTTTCATTAATGCCAGTTTAATTTTGTCTCTCCATTTGCTAATCAAAATGTAATTTAATTATTTCCTCTGTAAACTAAAACTTAGTCTTATCTTACTGTCTGTAAAGACATGTAGTTCTGCATCTTTTTTTAAAGAAAGAATTTCTATGACAATGACAATGAATATATGAGAGGGGGAAGATAAAACAAATACATTCAACTGCTAACAATTGGTAACCACAGGGAGAAGCTATATAGTGTCCATTGTCCTACTCTTGTAACTTTTTCATAGTTTTAAGTTTTTTCAAAATAAAAAATAGAGGGAGGCACTTGTGGCTCAGTAAGTAGGGCACTGGCCCCATATACTGAGGATGGTGGGTTCAAATCTGGCCCCGGCCATACTGCAACAAAAAATAGCAGCCTCCCTCTACTCGGGAGGCTGAGGCAAGAGGACTGCCTAAGCTAAGGTGACCAGACATCCCACTTTTGAAGGGACAGTCCCAATTTTTAGCAATTTGTCCTGCGTCCCGCGGCATTTTAAAAAAAGTCCCCATTTTTGAAAAGAACGCATGACAAGGGAAAGGTGGAGAATGGGAAGGGAATATATGGTCTTCAGCTGCTGAAAAGATTAATGTAACTCCATTTGGGAATGAAGAGGTTAATGTAACTCCATTTGGGAATGAAGAGGTTAATGTAACTCCATTTGGGAATGAAGAGGTTAAT